TCAAATAAATACATAAGCGAATAAACCATTTATTGAATTAACAGAGCATATAGTTTATTTGCACAATGGGTAGCAAGATTAAACAATGGGATGGAGCAAAACTATTTTTGCTAGATGGCAGAGGAGCCCCGGGAAAGACTGAAGATTCAATTTAGAATGTAAGTTCTAAATTGGAATAGAGTCACATTCTCAACAAATGTGCTTCAGAAATGACAGGACTTAAAAAGGGGCCCCTCTGGAAGACTTAAGGACTTGGGTAAGCTCATGATTTGTATCCACCACTAATAAAGAATAATTATCTAAATCCAACAGGCAACTTATGTCAAATAAAAGCAATCTGATTTTCAAAATATCAGAGATTTTCAAAAAACAGGCTGACCAGACAGATTCATTCATTCATTCATTCATTCATTCAATTTATATAACCGCCCATCTCAAGTACATGACTCTAAGCGGCTCACAACATTAAAAACAATTAAAATATATACAAATATTAAACAAGAAATGAAACACATAGAAACAGGCTCCATTCCATGCCTAGGGCCCAGGCACACCATACTAAGCTATGGTTTTATGAATAAGCTATGATTGCCAAGGTTTGCCCAGTACTCTAAGCTGTAAAACATGGTTTCCACAAATCAACAGCTAAGTTCACATGTCATGCCAGGTCACAATGTGATTTTAGTGTCTATGAATCTAGTCAATCCAGCAGAACCCAGTTGAGCCACTATGGAAACTATTGAGAGAATCAAGATTGAAAAACCATATTGCTTTTGCTGTCTGATTACACTTAATGAAAACATTAACACTTACCTTATCCCTGGCACGGAATGTAAAGAATTTGGGAAATTCCCTCTGGGAAAGAAAGCAAAATTAATATAGAAAATTATCATTATTCATTAGTCTCATCTCTACATTTTGCACACTTATACTACCCACTGAACCACTTCCAAACACACCACTTATTAAAATTTTAAATAACCCCAATCATTAATTCTCATTATTTTTTAAATGGATGTTTATTTTCTAATTTTAAGATGCCCTAAAAAATGTTTTAGAATGGGAGCAAGATATAACACTAGCAAAGAGAAGTTTAATGCTGAAACATAAAATTCAGGGGAAAACCTTAAGACCAAATGGCGTAAATTGTATTTCAGAGGCTTGAATGCATTCAAAGGGATTGCATTTAGCACAAACAGGATAAACTGCAGTAAACTGGGGACCTGCCCATTCCCACCTCTCCTTGAAGTCTGGAATCAAAAGTGACGAAAAACAGAAGGTTCTCTAAAGTAGACGATTTTCTAAAGTGACTAAAAACAGAAGGTAATCTAAAGAGAATCAGGAGCCACCTACCCTCTCACAGCCACACTAAAGGAGATAGAGGGGTAGGGGGAGCCCAGATATACTCAGAACTTGTTCTAGCATTCAGAACCCTCAGTTATAGTTGTGGCATAAGCAAATCGATCTTGATTTTAATTTTTGCTTGGTCTTGTGAAATGAGCTAAAACAGGAATCTTTTTGATTTGATGGACATCTTTTGAATGTTGGCGGCATGTTGTGATGCTGATTGCTGTGTGTCTTTGCCTATTCATATACATATACATATACACACATAATTTTATTTTACTTTATTTATTAAATTTATATGCCACCCATCTGCCCCAGAGGGTGACTCTGGGCGGCTCACAATTAAATGAGGTTGTGCCTTGCCATAGTTCCTGGATCTCAGGAAGCTCTTTAGCAGCCGAGTTTCCTTTTGGTAGGTAGCTGAACATTTACTAAACATTTAATTGTAACCTAACCAAGTACCTTCTAAATGTTGGACCTGCCACCACGACTGAAGCCGGAGAAAAAAGCCAGAAATATTGTCCATTTCTTCACCACCTTTCTAACTCTTCCTTGTCTCTTGCACCTTGTCTGCTGCTCAGTGCTAATCTTTCTTCCTGCTGCATTCGTCAGCATACTGTCACTAAACTGATTGCTCTTTTTTTTTTTCTTTTCAGATCTTCGGTCTAGCATTTTCAGGCAAATATCCAATTAAACGTGCGTGGGCAAATGCAAACGGAAAGACACAGAGGTAAACAAATCCTCAGAGTTTTCATACCAAAATCCCCAAAAAAAAAAAAAAAATCCGATTTCCTAGATGAAGGAATTATGCCCCTGCTGTGTTCTAATCAACCAACCATCATCAAGACAATCAGAATAATTCGCCTAAATTAACCAATCAAGACACCCTGCAAATTGGAGAATGCAAAAAGCTACATGAGAAAATCATCATAGCTGGTTATTATACTAATAATCGTGTTAAAAGCCTAATGAGATGAGGAAATTGGAAGCCTGCTGAAGCAACTCTCTATTACTTCAACATGCTGGGAAGTAATTATATAGACTGTAATTAAAACACAAAACGAGCCCACGCCAAGGCCGCTAAGTTACACTGATAGTCCGGTACTAGAATGAATAGGAATGAAAAAATGAAGGGCTGAACCCAGTTCCCTGGAAGGACTGAGCAAGTCTGTCTAGAATTTCTCTGAAGTAAGTATAAAGTGTAGAGAACTGCTTACCAGCACAACACCCAGAACCACAGCTCTGCTAAAAAGTCCAATCCTCATTTTCCAGAAAAAGACCAAGAACAGAGAGAAAGGCATGCTACGTATATTATTGTAGCAATGGCAGAAAAGGTTCTTTGAAATAGATCAACAAGTTATTTGCTCTGCTGTTTGTGAAGAGCATCCTTCACTACAACAAAGGACAGTCCCCTTCTCAAGTTGGAGCTTGTGATGGGTAAACCCAAGAAAAGAATGTCTGCAGTCATCTTGTCCTTCTATGGCACCAATGGTGTAGCATGAATACTATAGGCTTGTCTATGATCCAATAAAAGATGGGATCCATTGGAAACAGCAGGTATCCAGTGAACATTTGGTGTTGCAGGAGACTCCTGAGAATACCGTAGACAGCTAAGAAAAAACATTGGATCATCGAACAAATCAACCCAAAGTTCTCACACAAGGCACAAATGACTAGGTTCAAATTATCCTACTTTGGACATATTATGCGAAGACCTAGCTCTCTGGAAAAGGCTCTAATGTTGGGAAAGGTAGAAGGAAAGAGAAGAGGAGGATGACCAGCAGCAAAGTGGATGGAATTAGTTACAGTGGCGATGGGTATACTGTTGGAAGACCTGAAGGACCAAGTTGGTGAAAGATCATCATGGAGAAAATCTATCTATGTGGTTGAAAATAACTCGATGGCACTTAATCAATCAATCAATCAATGAACATTAATGTTACTGAAGTCTGTGTCCCTACTGGAAACATAATGGTAGAAGACACTGAGACATTCTACAGCAAATTGGAGATGGTGCTCGATATACTGTAGCAACAAGAAAGGCTATAGTGGCTGGTGTGGGTCTTCCGGGCTGTGTGGCCGTGGTCTTGAAGTTTTGTTTCCTAACGTTTCGCCAGCACCTGTGACCGGCATCTTCAGAGTGCCGGCCATGAAAGCCTTCGACAATACAAAGGCTATAGTGCTACTAATAGGTGACTGGATTGCCAAAATGGGAGAAACAGAGAACCTAGAATTATAGGAAAATGTGGGTTGTTCATTCTATGAACAATATCAGAAGCAAACAGATTACATAATAGAAAACTGAAGTTGGAAAAATGGAATCTAGTCTCCAGGACATGCTCACATGCAAACACTGAATTACTGGTGTCAAAACTTAGAAAATTAAAAAGAGTAGGCGTGCCAGCAAGATTTGACCTGGAGGACATACAGTCAGAATATAAGGCTGATGTAAAGAACAGATTTGGCAAACTTAATTTATGAGAAACAGGAGGGAAGAGATAAGAGGTAGAGAAACCAGAGGGGGGGAAATACCCAAATTTCAAAGATGAAAAGATCCAAGTGGCTTTTAGAACAAGTTATCATAATAACCAGGGAAAGATGAAGAATGAAAGACTTGGAGAACTCGAAGGATACATAAGGGATGATTCCTCTCCTAAATCTTAACCTCTATCATTAAGATCGACTGATCTTATAGAAGCCAGTATTAATCAGCCTTTAATGTGGAAGCATGAGGGCTAAAATCTTATTTTACCTTCAGAAGACAGATCATAATCCGGTAGAAAAGCAGGTCTTCTGCATACAGAAAGTTACAGATTTAATCCCCAGCACCTCTAGGCAGGGATGGGAGAAAGATTGTTAAAAGTAAAAGGAGGGAATGTAAAGTTGGTTATTTGATCAAGGTTAAAATGGATACATTGTTATCTCTGATAACCCTTAATGGATTTTTGCTGATCAGGACTGAACGACATGGTTTTAAGGATCTGTTTATGGAACTACTGGAAATATTCAACTTGGGATTTCTATCTGCTTGGAAGACTGCAAGAGATGAGATACAGGAAGAAGAGATCATTTGTTGTATTCTAAGAGAAGGTGATAAGTTACCACAATTGTTTATGCTTGTAGTGACGACGAGGGAAATGATTTCTTTATATATTTCTCTTCTTTACAATACAGTATTTTAATTTTTTATTTTCTTTCTTTTTATTTTTTTTTTCTCCTTTATTTTCTGCCCTTCCTATTTTTTTCTTTTTCTTCTTTTTTTTTCCTTAGTTGGTATGAGTTTTTATCTTTTTAATTGTAACGCTTCATCGAATTATTATTTAAAAAAAAAAAGGAAGGCAGATCATAATCCAGTAGAAAGCAGGTCTTCTGCACGCAGAAGGTCATAGATATAATCCCCAGCACCTCTAGGCCCAGCTGAGAGAAACTGCCTCTGCCCTCCACTCTGGGACTTACTAGGTATGTTAGAAACAACTCCCAGATTTCCCAGCAAATAGTCCATAAACGGCAATCCAATCTATCTGGAAAATACTCATTTGGGGAAGATTGGTACAGACAATGCTGACCTGACTGTTTGTCTCCCTAATCTCCTTGCTAAGAAAAGGTCTATCTCTGGCGCACACACTGTTCTTTTCTTATTACTGTCCGGCTCTTTGCTTCAGATCAGCCGCTTAGGAATTCCACCAGAGCTCTTCGACAGCATGTGGATTTATTCACAAGCATTAAAAGAAACTCTCCGTTTCCCGCCGTTATCCCCTTTTATTCTCTTAAACTGCCCAGATATCTACTTTCTAAAGCCCCCTGCTTTTCACATAAGCTTTCCATACTTTTCCAGCTTCCTGTCTTAAAGCTGCTGATTGATTGGTATCTGTTATGTGTTTTCAGATTGGCACCCCTCCCTAAAAGCTGGGCCATGCCCATCACCACCAACCATGGTCAAAACATTCCAGAAGAGGTCGCCTGTGCACGTAAGGAACATTTTTGCTTTTTTGTTTTAGCCTATAGTCTAATTTCGCTTAGGAAGTCCACGAAGCACAGAATCAACAGCTCTATATTTGGAGAAAGAGGAAGAAAAAGGGGGGAGGAAAAAGGGGTGGCAATCTCACCCTTGGATTTGGGGATGCAAGAGCCAAGGATGTCCACAGGGGTAGGGGAGATAAAAAAGTCAAAATGGCAGCCATGACGATACAGTCAAAGCCCCGCCCCTTTTGCAGGGGTCGACACATGCTAAAAGGGCGGGGCTTCAAGTATGGGGTTGCAGCCCCCATTATGACTTTTCTGATCCCCTCCAGGCCTCCCCTGTAAGTGGCTGAAACAAATGAAGCAGGAAGGGGAGGAGGCAGAATGATGTCGGGGGGGGGCTGCCTACTTTTGTTTAAAGTTCTGATGCGGGGGGGGCTGCCTACTTTTTCCCCTTTTCCCCCTCTTACATCCACTGGTATAACGCAGAAGACTGTTGGGAGATTTATCATCAGGTTATGCAGTTGGGCAACCAGCTGAAGCCCCCAGAGTTGAAGGTGGCCCTCAAAACTGCACCCTCAAACTCAGGGTACAGTTGCTGAAAATGGGGAGCACACTTTTCTGCCCTTCTGAAGTGAGAGGGAGACAAAAACAGCAGTAGGTGAAAAACCCCAAGCTCTTTGCCCCCGTTAACATTCCTGGGCCTACCCACTTTGCATCATCGTCCCCAAAATGTGACCTCCTGCCATTAAAGGGTTGCCTGGCTATACCATGCACATCTGCTTTACTGTACAAACTGCAACCAGAAGGGGAAAAAATAAAGATCTGAGATTGTACAGGTTCCCACAGATGTTTTCTACTTACATGAAATCTTTGGTCCACCTCATAGTTGATTTGTTTTCTGAAATCCTTGCAAGCCAAAATGTAAGATACAGTGGCAGGGGGGGTTGAGGGGGGGGGGGGGGGGGGGAGGCAGAACAAAACTAGCAGTTAGTCCATAAATTAAAAGTGAATTAAGGAAAAAAAATCACAAGCAATGCAACATCGTCATCATTTTCAATTCTCAATTAATTTTCTCCAGAGAACTTATTGAAAAACCATTGCACAGCTGGAGACAAATAAAACAAAATCAGCTGTGAACATGATTTGTTTTTTTTCCTCCTTCCATTAAAAGCAGTCAGATCTGGCACGCAAGCTATCAAAACGCAAAAACTCCAACTGAGGGAGAACAAGAGGTCAAAATACCTTTTGGGCCACCAGAAAAGTTAGCCGACGAATTCCATGGTCGATCAGCACAGATTTCTGGAAAAAAGGGAAGGAAACATGAGAAAATACATTGGGAAAGCAAATTGGCAAAATGGAAACTTGTAAGAAAAATCTCTGTAAAGCGTTTTTCACAAATATACCTGCTATTGTAAGGGAAATTCTATTTATAGCCCTGGAACCGTAAATGGGGAGGAGTGGCAAGTACATTTCAAAAAGAGAAGAAATCAGAAGCAATCAGGTAACAACCCCACCCGAGTTTCTAAATTTTGAACGGGATGCCATTCAGACAGCCTTACACCTGGAAGCAACCTTGCCATAAATATGGAACAAGGATTTATACTGGACACTTTCCAGAGCAAGGGAAACGATTACAAAAAGCCATCAGCAAATCTAAATTTAAGGGAGAGAGGAATGGACTCCCTTAAACTCAAAAGCGAAGCCTTGACCAAGCATTATATTCCCCCATTGCCACCCTCCCAGTATGAACAATGGGTCCACTGCTCCTGTCAGTCTTAACCGGCTTCAATCCAGCCTCTTTAAATCTATGATCACTGGAGTCTGTAGATCACATAACTCACTGTATGTTTCTATGGTGAAATATAAAAAGCGTGTCGTCAATTCTATATTATTGCTAGCATATGTTCTTGAAAATAAAGATTGGTTGGAAAAATTTAGTTAGTGTGTCCTCCTCCCCCCCCCGCCCCCCGTTTATCCTCCTTTCCAAATGTTCATGTCCTCCTTTGCCTTTCAGATATCTGGTAATCCTACCAAGGCCCCAGTCCTTTTTCTCTTCCACTGTCAGCTTTCAGGAAGGCCTTGAAGACCTGACTATTCCTTGGGACTAGATTAGCGAAACCCGTCCTACAAGGCGGAATATGTGATGAAGTACATTTGTTCGTTGTGTTTTTTACAAAGTTCTGTTGCTTTGCATCTCTGTTTTAATTGTTCTAATCCACACCACCCAGAATTGCATTCTTGCAAGTTGGGTGGCCCTTTAAATCTTTCAAACAAACAAACAAAAATTCTTTGGTCATGGTGGGACAAAAGATCATTCAACATGTTGTCCACTTCTCTAGTCAACAATGGCCTTCATTTTATTAGTAACATGCTTTTTCTCTTCCACCAGTCCTTCAAGGTAGACTAGACTAGGAAACCAGAAGTTATGAACGCTTATGCTACTTTTAACATAAGGTTGTAGTAACAGAATCTTGCAAGTCTGAATGTGCCTGTAAGAGTATGTGAGAATGACCTTGGGAGACAGGAGGAAGAGCTGCAGACTAGGCAATGGTCAGATAAGAGGCAGCTGAGCCCAGAGAAGGGGGCATGGCAAACATCTCAGAAGGGACCCTCCTTAGTTTCTTGGACTGTAAAGGTGATGGGGGAGATGTACTTTCAAACTTGCAAGATTCCATTAATGTAACCTCACATTAATTGCATTACACAAGATAGAGCTAGTACTCATGGGTGTGCTTCTTGTCTGGACTACTTCACCAGGCTGACAGTACCTCCCTCTTCTTCCCTCTATTTTCTTGAGAACTAGGGAGGGTCAAGTTTGAGATGCTTTCTGAAATTGTATTTCTACCCCAGACTCAGATTTCTCTTATCTGACCCTGCCTTGGTTGCGACTCTTCCTCCTGTTTCTCAAAGTTATTCCTATGGCCCATTACATCCATCTCCTTCTACCCTCCTGTAATGGTATTCGGGAATGACCTTGGGAGACAGGAGGAAGAGCCACAACCTAGACAATGGTCTGATAAGAGAAATCTGAGTCCAAAGGAGGGGTGGGGGTGGAGAAAACGTCTCAGAAGGGCCCCCCCCCTTAATTTTCAGGAAAGTTAAAAGAAGGGAGGGGAGAGGTACTTTCAGATTTGCAAGATCCTGTAACCTTACAATAAAGGTAGTGTTAGAACACATGGTTGCTGCTTCTCGTCTGGAGTACCTCAAAGGGCTGACACCTCCCCCTTCACCCCAAAATCAGAAATGGGGAGGAAAAAAGCTTTCAATAGGAAGGGAGACAGACAAAAAGCTTCATGCCTTCAGCTTCAGGATCAGACCCCTGCTTTCCAGCACAGATGGCAAGGTTTTACTAAGGTTAACGCCCTTTGAAAATGAGCATCCCACAGTCAAGGGAAAAAGGGAAAAAATAACTTTAATAATGAGGTTGAGATTTTTCTTTTTTTTTAAAAAAAAAAAAAAGGTTATTGCTTTTAAAATTCCACAAGTGTCAGACAATAAGTATATAGCAACGGGATTCTGATTACATTGTAATAATACAGACCTCCTAGCGACTCAGCAGCTATTACGGCACTATTAGGTACCAGCACCTGGAGGAACTCCATTTCCACTGTCTGTTTCAATCACCTCCACTAGCCATTTACAAGTATACAATCCTAATTTCTATCAAACCCAGACGCGCGCGCACACACATACGCACACGCAGGGGGGAATCCTGTTGGGACATGCTGAGACTGGAAATTTATTTGGGCAATTTGGATCAAGCTATTTGATAGTTTAACGCACAACGCCTTCCTTCTTCCAGACACACTTAAACACACACACACCACAAGCCCATTCATGCAAATGAAAGAAAACCTATGCAAAAATAGCTTAGCACTTCGTTTATGAGAAGAAATGAAAACTTTGGATTCTTGATGGTGGGGCGAGAGGGATCAAATGCAGCCCTTTTTTATGTGCACATCCCTGAGGAAAGGCTGGTTTTGATTTAATCGGTTTCGTTCTAGGCTAGGAGTTTAAGGCTCCCCTTAAATAAAGGTTAAGCATGATTTTTTAAAAGTAATATATTCAAGCAAAAGGAAACAAAAACAGAATATGGGAAAAGGGATGCTCATTTCACCGTTTTAATTTTGTTAATAAAATAATGGCAACAGATGCGGTATTATTCCTTTCAGAAACTTAACAGGACAGACGCTCTGCTTCCTCTTGTCCTCCAGTCCAGCTGTAAGAAGAATGGAGCGTCTTCACTTGTTTTTAAGGATCAATTGTTTACTAAGGTCTGCTGGAAGGGGGAGTCAAAACAAGCAAGATGGTGGATGCAGCAAGTGTGACGCACACCCCACCCCTCTGAAACACGTGTGGACACACCCACAACACGAACAGGGCTTGCATCACAATGCCGTGTCTACCGTTTTGCCTGATTTGACCCCACCGCTCTGCAGGCGCTGCTGCAATTGTATGAGGGGTGGGAATCTGAGCCCCTGTAGGCACCAAAGAATCTGCCAGCCCCTCAAAACAGCGACAAAATCATTTTAAAAATCACTCAAATCTCGCACAACCTCATGGGAGAACACTAACATCTCAAAAGTTCTTTCTCAAGGTTTCAGCATTCTCGCAGGGCTCCAAGGGCAATCTTGTGAGAGTTCAGAAGAAGGTGTGTTTCTTTGTTAGATTTACATACTATTTTTCATTCAGGAGCTCAAGATTCTGTTCCTATGGTCAATCTCAATAAAAGTAGATTTAACCTTTCTGTAGAGTTGATTTCTGGTCTAATCTACCTAGTGGGTCTGACCTCTATCTTGCAAGTCCAATTGTGCTGTACCTCCTCCCATTCTTATACCCATGTGAATTAGGGAGGTGTCTATCTGAGCTGCTTTCACATACTTTCTGCTTGCTTTGGATGTAATACAGTGGTACCTCTAGTTACGAACTCAATCCGTTCCGTGACTCTGGTTGCAACTCGAGT